CTTATGCAGTTTATCCTTATAAGCAGCTGATCAGTAGCTGATCCAGATAAGTTGACTGACTGTTTAGTTTTTGCGTTTGAAAAACAACTGATTTACATCTGATTCTGGATAAATGACCATTTTGCCCAATATTTGGATAAACTGTCTGACCGTTTGGTTTGTGCGTTTGGAAAATAGTTAATTTGCAGTTATTTCTGAATAAATGATCATTTTGTCACTGCGCAGTTGTGCTGTTTGCAACAGAACTGTAATAACTATACATTTGATAGTTTAAAACCAAAAAATCACTTCATAACAGTATAAAAAAAAGGATATACTTCTCATAAAAAAGAAAAAAACATATTAATATTACAATTAAAAGTATGATAATATTTATATTAAAATGTAGAAGGAGCATATCACGAGCAACGTTGTCAGGTTGGGATACTGTCGAACCCCGATCATTATCGGCAGTGGAATCAACCGAACTGTCTGCCCACCTGAAGAACTCACACTTGTCCCTCCCTACCTCCATATACATTGCATTGGAGAGAAATTATAGATTGCAACAGATATGTGAACTCTACAACATCCATATACATATATATATATATATATATATATATATATAATTCAGGAAGTTATAAAAAAGCCAGTTCGACTGCAAGTACAACCCTGAGCAAAAAAATGTAGGTGCAATAACAAGAATGAGTCGCATGGCCAGTTCAAGCCAACAAAAACAGTATACGTACCTTAACACCATTCTATTCCAAAATCCAAGCTAATTGCAAATTAGGAAGAATTGGAGGAGATGCAGAGAAGGGGCGAAGGCCCATACTGAAATGCCAAACTTATTCAAAAATCCAAAAGAATGCATAAAGCCAAAAATACGAAAGCCAATAGAATCCAACGAAATCCAAATCAACCGAAGGAACACCTACTACGAAAACCATTCCATCCATACCAAAACCATTCCATACTTGCAGATTTATCATTAGGAGAGATTGGAGAGAGGAGTAATGAGTGACAGGACGAGAGGCGAATGAGCAGGGGGACAATACGAGACGAGAACAAAACAACCAGAGAGGATCGCGCTAGGGCAAGCAAGATGAGAAACCAAGGGCAGGTGGGTGATAATCTGTGAAGAAACGTTGGCTGCGGGGTCGATCCCGCGGCCGCATTTATTAAAGAAAAAAAGACGATGTTTGGAAAATGCCGCTCGAATGGCCTAAACAAACGGGTAGGCGGCGTTGTCAAAACATCTCCGCAGGCAATAAGTTGCCCCAAATGCACCCTAAGACAGATTGTCAGACAGAGGTTGTAAACCGTAGTTTAGGAAATCTTCTTAAGTGTTTTGTGGGAAAGGACATCAAGAAGTGAGACTTGGTTCTTACTCAGGTATAGTTTAGCTGTAATTATTCTACTAGTCAGTCCACAGGTCACAACCCATTTGAGATTGTGTACGGACATAATCCTCTTATACCTTTGGAGTTAGTCCCCATACTACTCGTAGTTGAGCTTAGCATGGATCTAAGTTTCGAGTCAAAGATATTAAAACTCTACATGAGCATGTCTGGAATGAGATTGCTAAGTAGAACACCAAGTATTAGAAACAGATCAACAAGTCTAGGAAAGCTATGGTCTTCAAGGAAGGCGACCTAGTGTGGATCAGGCTGCAAGACAAATTTCATGCTGGTTCATTTGGAAAACTCTAGCCTAGAGCAGATGGCCCATTCAAAATTGCTACAATGCTTACAAGATTGACTTACTAGGAGATTATGATATTTTTACTATATTTAATGTTGTTGACTTGTTGTTGTACTACGAGGACCTGGATTTTTCTGGAGGCGAGGGCAAAGTCCCTTGGCAGGTTCGGATCTCACGATTACGAGAGTCCTGTGGCGTTGTTTCTTTCATGTCTATTTTTTCTTTCCTTTATTCTCACTTAGCTTCCTTTAGTTATACCCTATTTTATGCTCTCCAGAGTGCTTTAGCTTCTTCCTCTCGCAATGGTGTGCCTATAGCTTGCCCAGGAATAGATGGTGGACCCCCCTCACCGTCCGCATCTCGCTGATCTGCCATTTGATCGCTGTTTTCAGCCATGTCGCTGCCCAACTGGCTGCCACCTGCTGTTTTTAACTGGAAACTGCTCGATTTGGCTTCCGGCTTGCTGTTCAGCAGCCATCCATCCTCCCCACTCCCATAATCACTTCCACAACTTTTCTAACACTTTTTTGCGTTCTATCCATCCTTGTAGGAGCCCCAGAATGGTGTCAAATATTCAATTGATCTTCAATTTTCATGTAAAATATACACTTTAATTTAAGTGGCCAATACAAGGCTCAGAAAAAACTTAAATCGACAGTATTTTTTACTTCTTATCAACTTAAATCGACAGTATTTTTTACTTATTATTGCTTGCTATTATTTTCCTTGAAAAAACAAAGGCAATGCGCACAGAGATTCTCTGAGCTAAAAAGTATTTTATCACATACTTCTCCTTTACCAACCTTCTTCAGCAGTAAAAACTACCGCTCATAGGCTTAATTTGGAGCATTTGGTGAGCATAGGATGTGCTGTATGGAATCAATCCCCTATTTACAAGCTAGTTTATTAATGGAGCTCTTTTTTTTTTTAGTATTTGCTTCAAAAAGAATCTAAGGAGAATCTGTTATATATTTAATAAAGCTTTGAATCATAAAATAGGGCTATGAGTTTGGCTCGATGATCATTGGAAAATTGAATCTTGGCTTTTGATCAAGTTAAAATTGAAGTTGATGAGTAGTCTAATAAGCAAGATCAAATAGAAAATTAATGTTTGTATGCATGAATTAAGTGTATGTATGTATGTTGGACTAAACTTACCGTAGTTAATGGAATGAGATTAGATCAACCTTTAGCTTCAGTTGCACTTGGATTGAAATTAGCATGTCATACTTGGCTGGAATCGAGATCCTTCGCACTACTAAACTTGGATTGGCTAAAGGTCGTATAAATTGAATTCGATGTGGCTCAAGATCAGAGCTTATAGTGCGGAAAATTGACACTTAACCTTGAACTCTGGCCATCAGGCATTCAGGACCTGACAAATGATTGCTATTATGTTTTTTGTTTTATTTTCATTTTTCTCAATTATGGCTGACTTTTGAATTTCAAAGTGAAATCTAGATTGTTTGATTTCATTTTTTTCTTGCTTTGCTTCTTGTCCTTTCATCAACTAAATATGGTATAATGGCATTTGAATAATTGGGATGTCCAGTTAGCTAAAAATCATTTTAACTACCTACTATTTTTTTTTTATTGTTTTTTTACTTGCGGAGCATTCTCTATCATCAGGCATTCTCGTGCATTTTAAGAAGATATAGCCTTTTATGTTTCTCATCTATAATTCGAACAAGTCCCAGTTTTTATTTTTTGGCTTCCCTAAGTTCTCTTAGTGTTTCATTCTTTTCAATGTTTTAGCTGTCATTTAAAGGTTCTTCATTCTTGCTGTAGGCTTATACCAGATATCGTGACATTTGGAACACGAGAGTCAGCATAATAGGGGTATGGGAGCCTGTTCAGATAGCGGCTATTTTAAACAGTTTATTTTCTTTTTTCCTTCGTTCTTTTAAAAAAAGGGTAATGACATACATAGCACTCGAACATTGATAATTACAAAACTAGCACCCTCCATATATTTTCCAAATTCCCGCTTAAATATCGAATTCATGATAAAACCCCAACCCATAATTTTCATTTTAATAATGTTCCCAATGGGTTGATTGTGGCATGTGTAAATGAATTTAGGCAGTTAAAAAAATCACTGGGGGTTATTTTTGTAAATAGGGATGTTTTAAGTGATATGTATGTGATTATTACCCCACCCCCTTTACCAACAAAAATAAAAGTCTGTTTAATTAATAATTCGATTGTCTATGGCTAGCTTTAACATGTTATTAAAGAGATCGCAAATGTAGTTACGTTGTTAACTTTACTATGAAATGTAAATGACATATTTTTATAATGGTTTTTTGTGTTTTTTTTTTTTCTTGCGTTCTAATCTCTATAAGGTCCGTTATTGCTATTTGTGAATCTGGCACCCTCTTTCATCTATTTTTCAAATTCACTCAAATATCATGTTTTTCATTTTTATCAAATTTAGAATAATTTAGACGTTGCACACATAAATATTAAAAATTATTCCATACGAATACCGCATGTAGAGATGCATGCGGTGTTCGATCTACACCGTAAATCAAAGTGATGTACGATGAAGATGGAATCAAATTTGTTGTTTAAAAAAAATAAAAAAAAATTAAAGTGAGGCCCATCGAAAAATATCTTCACCTACGGTACATGCGAGTCCGTATGCAATAATTTTTCCATAAATACAACGAATCGATTAGATAGTGCAAAAAAAAATTTATTTCTATTTTTCCTATTTTTTTATATACAATTATTTTGGTGATAAGGTGTTGTAATACTTTTTGGACAAATGAAGCTTTCCAGCGCATAGATAAATATATAAAAGAATTGTGTAGAATGTATGTAAATTTTATTTTAAAAAACTTGTAAGGTTAATTAGGGCAGGCTTTCTAGGCAACTGCTTTTGACAACTTTTATTTAAATAATAAAGGTTTATAAATCTGAAAATACTAAGAGATAAACCCCAATATTATATCTTTTCAGTGATTATGAATCTTTTGGTTTAGATAATCTTACAAGAAAGGGCTAAACTGGCGAAGGTCTTCCAATTTAATCTCCTGTATTAATATTAATTAGAACGAATTTTGTATTCATTAAATTCATTTTAAGAATAATTAACTAGCATTATATTACAATAACTTTCTAACAGATCTCCAAAGGTTAGAAACCAAATAATTCTAAGTGCGAGGGTGTTGTAACCATAATACTTTCAGTTCTCAATGATTGATTTAAAATTTTATATAATCAAAATGAAAACAATATGATATAATTTATGAAGAAAAGAAATCATACAAACGAACAATTTATGAAGAAAAGAAATCATACAAACGAACTTAGGCTGACAATTTGTAGGCTGAGAATTTATTGTTTTATCTTCTCACAGCAGACAGATTAAAGGGATAAATAATTTATCTTCTTTGGACTGTCATGCCAAAAAGAAAATAATTTACAAAAAGGGAATGCAAAATTCAAGTTTTTAATATGATTATGATTGTTCGAGAAGATTCTCAAGGTACAAGTTAAGAATATATCTTCCAGTTAATTGAACATCAACCCTGCTCTCTCTTGGCTCATATTTTCCCCTGCGCAGTTGGTACCTATGGATAACAGCTGAAACAGTATATGGTTGCCCTTCTATGGTCACACTTTCCCCACAGTGAATATTCTGCACTTAGGGAACAAACAAATAAAAAAATACATATCTAACTCCTTACCTTTTATCATTCATTTAACTTTTAAAAATGTGAAATAGACCTTTTTCATGCAAAGATAAAGGGTCATATATGTCAAAATTGATGTTTACGTGTTAAATATAGGTGAAATACACTTCTGATGCATAAATAAGGTTAGCATATGTGTAAAAATTAAAGTTAAGGGGTTAAATATGTAAATACATAGGAATTAAGTACTATGTATGTACATCTTCCGTGGAAAAATTTTTTTTTGGCACAGATCCATTCAACATGCCAATTTTAAATTGATGGGCTGGGCAAGAAATATATCTAGATGACTGCAATTAATAATAGGAAGAAAAACAGCGAATACAAGTAGCTTGGATAATATATATATGTTGTTTATTCATGGCTCTTAATTATGACATAAAATGGCACACTTATAATTTTTTTCTTTTTTTCTTGCCTCTTGGAAGCCTCATCCATCTATAAATAGATGAGGGGTCTTAAGGGATGTGTAGACCATCATAAGGAGAGAAAAATCTGATCAAGAAGATCAAGAGGAGGAGGAAAATTCAGCAAGGGGAGGAAGATCTTGGAGAGGCTTTAGAATTGAGGGAGAGGTCTAGTAGAGAGAGAAATCTAGAGAGACTTTGTGATTCCTCGATGTAATGAGCCTCTAAATCTTCCTTTGTGCTAGTAAATTTTGGTAGCGATTCCCTCCGTGGATGTAGGTCTAAGGACCGAACCACGTAAATCTTCTTGTGTCTGAGTTCTTGTTTTCTGCGGCATTTCTTTTTCCTTCTTTTAAGATTTCTTCCTTTTTTTTT